TCGCGGGACATTTTACAAATCAAAGATAAGTGTAGAAGTCTCACTAGCGCTCCACTCGGGTGTTCTCCGTCTTTCTTCTGACAGTTCGCGAGAGAGGGGGCGGTGTTTTGCATGATGTCGACCTGCGAATGCAGACACGATGGCTGGATTGCGTTTACATTACACTGAGATCCGATCACAGTGCGTCCTCGACTACCTCTGGAGCAGGACACACTGATCGGATAACATTCCGATCAGAAGCGTGTTTACACTTGTCTTTCGGACACAGCCGAAGTCACACAGAGCACATGAGGGATGAAAATACAACAAAAGTCCAATGGGGTGTGACAATTATGCAAACAAAAACTTTTATTTTGTATGCGATTAATCGCGATTAATCGTTTGACAGCACTATAAATTATTATATTATATTATATTATATTATATTGTATTGAAAACAAGACAAAATATTTAAGTTTTTTTCCAGTGAAAGATATTTAATATAATATAATATAATATAATATAATATAATATGTAAAATCCAAGGATGGTTTTGTTGGAAAACAAGTCATATACACTTCATAAATGTATTTATTTTGTGAAATGCATTTTTATTATTATTATTTTTTTTTACATCTCAGTTAAAAGCCTAACTATCTTCACAGACCTATTTTTCTACATGTATTGAATTACTACTGAACAGTGGCCTTGAAGCACATTCTCGCAATTTCAGTTCATTGTGTTTTTTCATATTTTCTGATGCTCTAAAGTGAACTTGAGCTTTTAAAAACCATCCCATGTATAAACCATGTTTTTTCATGTTATTTCTCCATTACCATGTAAATTAGCATACAGCATCAATTAAAAATGCACAAATGCATGGCAGGACTGTGAGTCACAGCTGGTCGACTATAATGTTAAAATCACACGGTGGACATTCTGTTCTGGAGGGAGAAATGAGACACTGGATTACTCTAATGGCAAAATCATTAAGCACAAGCGAGACCCTCGGCTCTTACTATGTGAAAATGGCTCCTGTGAGTGACTCCATAATCTCTCCTCAGAGTGCTTTTGTGGTGTCTCATTTCACCTCCCCTGTGCTGGTTTGTGTACGCGGCTAGTTGTTTTTGTGTTTCACTGCATATGCAGCAGCGTTAGTCTTCATGTGTGTGTCCACGTGTGTCATGCAGCTCGTCTGTGGTGATAGTTAGTGTTTATGTTGTACTCTACTGATGTCTCCCACTCCTCATGTTCAGACCATTACGGCACTATTACGGTACGAAAGTTCTTTGTTCTGCACGGCCATGATGACAGCTGTGGCACGTTGCTGTCAGATTTAGAGATTTATATAATATGCTGCAGGCTAATAGCAAAAAATGGTATGTATCAAACGTGGGAAAGGAACACGGCATGTAGCCATGGGCTGTTTGTTTGACTAGTATTTTTCAGATATTTTTCTTGGACTCATGAAACCATGCTCTGATGCTGTGCTGTTTTAACCCCCAGGGTAGGAGAATGACTTTATTGGGGTGGCCTGTGGAGGGGTCTCACAGACAAGTGATGTTAGACTGTGTGGTGCCATGGTCAGCACCCTGCTCCTTTGCTGGAGATACGGAAACCTGCGCTTCGCCATCAGTTTTAGCTCTTTTCTAAAAATCTTTAGAAAAAAGGATGGTGCACTTTTCCACTCACAGCATGATTCCATTATCTAGGAGGCTTCTAAGGAACTGAGATACTGCAGAGAAGGAGATTTGGCCTGTGACATGAGCATGTGGAATCCAGAGAAAGACATCATGTTCCAAATTGTATATTGACAGAGAAGCCGTATGTGTGCCTGGCAGACGTTTTAAGACTTTTTAAGAGGTGCCAACTGATGCAACAGTTTTATTTGTGGTGGAGAGCCGAGCATGATTTAATAACTGAGACGTGCTGCCTATAGCTCAGCCGAGGCTCAAGTGTAATTGAGGTAAATGATCGGATCAGTTTGGAGAGCACTCGTGAATAACAACAAGCGGCTCTTGTTCAGTAGTTCTAAATCACATTTAATAACCAGGCCATTCTTAAGCCGGCTAAAGTCTCGTGTCCTTATAAAAGCTTCTCACGGTGGAATACACTTTGATTTAGTGGTGAGAGGGTCAAAGAATGAGGTGTTCAGACTGACTGCTTGTTTGTTTGAGGCTGTTGATGTTAGGTGAGGTTGTGTTGTCTGTTTTCTTCTCCTCACACATAGGCTAGTTTAACGTCAAAGGCACAGTGTTTTTCAAAGAGATGAACCTCTGGAAATCACATCCTCTGAGCCTCTGTAACGTCTAATGTTACAGCTAATGTTTTCACATGGTTTCTTTTTTTCTCTTGCTTGCTGCAGATCATTTTTTGTCACTGTTTCAGTTCATTTTTGTCATACCAATGTGCTTTTTTCATGGCTATTTCGGAAATGTCTAAATATATAAAACATATAAATTATTAATATAATATAAAAAGAAGAAGAAGACTGGTAATCTTACAGTACTCTTATCAAGCTAACAAATCAAAATCAGAACAAAACAATAAAATTATGTATGTATGTATTGTATAGTACATATATATATATATATATATTATAATATATTATTATTATTATAAATTGCATACTTGTCAATGATTTAATTTTAATTTGATTTGTATTAATTTGATCACTGTAACATCACTGTAGGCATATGCTCTCGGTTACATTAGATAGCATTATAACATAACCTGCATTATTTTTAAAGTAGTACAGTAGTGGGATTGTAAGGTATTAGAATGCCTGAATTTCACTTTTATTCTTTCATATTCATCACACACATTAATCCATCAATTTCTTCATGTACCTTTTCACCATGACTAATGGGGTTCATGGCAAAAACCTTCCTATATTTTCCTCTCTGCTGGGTCCATTTATGTCTAATTTTCCTTTCATTAAATGAATCTATTCTCTCTTCCTTCTCTTTGCTCTTTCCTGAATGTCACAGCAGGCATATGAACCAATCAATCAAGAGAACATTTACCACTATAACATCATGAATCATTGGCATTTTAATGTATCAGTAGTATAGCCTCACTCTTCCTATATATATCTATAACCTACAGAGGTTCTGTGTGGCAAAACACTTAGACATTATGCCACCTAATTCATTGTATCCAGGCTGCACTTTTGTTCACAGGCATATGAGGTGAATGAGAATGAATTCTAATGAAATCTGATATAGTAATAAACCTCTGCTCAGAATGGAAACATTTTACAATATCACAGTCTATTCCAATCACATGCTGCAGGGGCTCGTTCCCATACTGAAATAGACATGGCTGAGTTGCAGCTATGCATGCAAATGGTGAAGTTATTCTTAAGGGGATGTTTTCCACGCAGCACAGATGGACACAAATCATACTCGTGGTGATTCACTGATTGATTTACTCTTCAATGGTGAGGGAAATGCCTTCTGATGACCTACAGAATAGAGAGAAGGTCTACAAATTTGTATGTATTTGTTAAACTTACAATTGAAAAAAAAATACTTAGTGCACATTGAATGCTGAAGATGACATCAATATGATGTCTATAGCATGACATTAACTCCAGAGCATTGCTTAATTAGAAAGATGAAAGTGCAATTCATGGCAATTTGCATGCCAATAATTTATGACCCATGTCTAAATGAAAGACATTTATGAATGTAAACACTTTACTCAACAGGTTAAGCGTGTCCACAGAGAAGGTAGTATTAATATAAATTTCTAACACAACAGTAAATCACATTGCCACAATCAAAGCAAAGATTGCACAAATATTTCATTTAGCACAAGGTGGTACAGGTCACAGTTTCACACGAGAGGCTACTGTGATCTACATGCAGAGAAAATCCTTCCCAGAAGGGTGCAGTGTTAACAAATCTGTCCAAGCCGTCACATTCACTTTCATTTACTGAAAAAGGACATGCATGCTGTTGCTTGGTAGTCCAGTGTTTACAGTGACAGAGCATTCTTTTAATCTCTATAGTTTTTTTCTAACATTTACATATACATTGACAATGTTTGACTTATGTTTCCAATGTAAAATCCTGGACAGATTTAGAGTGCACCCTTTTAAGAAGCTGGTTTTAAACTGCACTTTGATGTAATGCTTCAGTGAAATAGAAATATTGTTTTATCAGCACATTTTATCCATGATAAGTAAATGTGTAGAAATGTTTGAAATCCTCAAAGCATTTTGCTTTGCACATAAAATCAATCAAGACCACAAAAAGCCACAACTAATACGAAGAGATATCCTAAAGAGCAAAGTTCACAGTTATCGATCGCATAAACAGGCTGCACAGTAACAGAGAGACACTTGCCCTAAATTAATAGTTCACAAACACTGACAAGTATTGAAACGGTTTACCACTTACGCAGTTTATGATATGCATGGAACATTAGATTAAACGCCTAGGTCAGAAATGTGAGTGAGTGAGGAACAGGGAAATTGCTGTGTGCTTTGCACTGCATGCATTAGCTGAGCCTGACAGGAAACCCGATGCCTCCTACTTTATTTATTTATCTTTCTAGATAATGTTTTTTTGAGAGGGAGTCACATAATGACTTTGATAAACACTGTTTCTCAGGGATTTACACGGAAGCTTGATGGACTTTGTTCAATTGTACTGGAAAAAGTTAAGAACATTCCTAGGGTGACTAATTAGGATTTGGCAGCATTCAGGACTGTGCCTGCTGAGGGACGCGAAATGACTTAACGCAGATCAAAACAGGCCACCAGAGAAGTTCTGTTATCATACACATTTTAAGCAAGAGATAGAGAATTTGTTTATGCTGTGAGAATGCGATATCGTGCATTAGCATACAATGGTTTATTTTTGTTGACTTCCATCTAAGGATACTCAGCTTAAGCAATCACATGACTAAAAGACTGAACTATATAATTCAGCAATTTCCTTAAACAAACTGGTATGAACATGCGGTTTCTCTTCCTCTTTCATTGTGATAAGAGGTGTTGTTTATGTGCTGAGTTACCAATTGGGTCAATTTTTAACCCAGACATTTTTAGATGTACTCTAGACTAGTTAGAACAGAGCTGTGGCAGGTGTAAGAATTTTTATGTGGTGTATTTTTTTATGTACCATCAGAAATGGCCTGTTTTACAGAAGTGAACCTGATACTTTATGTGAAGTAATGCTTGTTCTAGTCTGAATGACTGAATGATTTAATATTTAAGCATCCAAATTTAACTAAGTTGCAGTGAAAATGCTTCAGACGGCAATACCTGATTTAATCTGTTGATCTAATGCAAGCAAACATTCTTTAAAACTGAAACTCAGTTCCTCACTTTATGCAAGATGACAGAAACATGACTCAGGAGGGAGGTCCCTTTACTGAACATCCACTTCAAAGTTCTTTTTCATTGCTATCAAAGAAATACAATCTCTGTGAGCATTCCTGTTCATTTAAAACTGAATTGCTAAACATTTTTAGCATCTAGTTTGTTGTTTTCTTTAGCTGAAACTACTTTTTGAGTGCGCAAACCTATTCGAGTGGTGAAATGAACCAACAGAGCAAGTGAACTTAAGAGAAAGCAATGAGGTAGATGAGGAAAACCAATGTTTAAAAAGTCCCTTTTTCCAACACACACCTACTATTGGTCACTTACCAGAGGAGGGTTAACCTGTCCTTATGTGACACATTGAGAAGTCACAGTAGAACGAGCCAGGACTCGCAAGGTGATTTATAACACACTCGTAAGGTTTTTACTGCAGTTCCCATTAGAGTCCGTTTTATCTGCTGACATGCGTCCCTCTTTCTCAAAGTTTCCCCCAGCTGTGTCACTGTTCTCTGAGCTGCCTTTGCTTCGCCCTCGGTGCTCACTTTGCCAGCTGTGCCCACTGTATATATATCCATTGACTGGCCTGACATTAGGGTAGCGTGTTCTGTTGAGGCATAGAATCTCCTTGAAAGCGTACCTAAACTCTGGACTTCTACAGTAGATCAGTGGGTTAAAGGCTGAGTTAGCGTAACCTATCCAGTTTAAGATTTTGAATATAGGGTCAATATGGTCCATTTTTGGGGATTTTTGTTCATATATGGCCCTGACCACATTTAGTACAAAGAACGGGAGCCAACACAGCGTGAATATACCCATAATGATGCCCAAAGTCTTCAAAGCTTTATGTTCCTTCAGGCAGAACTTGGGCTTCTTGGCGGTCCTTGCCTCACAGTGGCTGCTTGCCACTTCTTGAGTTTTGCCATTGTTCTGAGCATGAAATCGTCCCTCACTTTTGTATATCTTCTTCAGCTGCTTCTTTGCCTCCTGGAAGACGCGGCTGTAGACAAAAATCATAATGACCAGAGGGATGTAGAAGGAGATTATGGATGAGATGATGGCATAAGTGGTATTGGTGTGAAAGTCACAGCAGGTAACATTCATCAAGCAGCACCTTGCTTTTGTACTATTGGCAATCCACCAATCCATATGGATGGGTAGGAAGGAAATGAGCCCGGCAATGACCCATACCAGCAGCACAATGATGCAAGCTCTGCACTTGGTCAGTAAGGACTGGTAGCGGAAGGGGGATGTTATGGCGAGGTAGCGATCCAGAGCGATGACACAGAGCGTCTCGATACTGGCCGTGACGCACAGAACATCAGTGGCCGTCCAGAAATTACACCAGAATCTGCCGAATTGCCAAGTGCCAAGGTTGATGTTAAGGGCGCCGAAAGGCACCACCACCAATCCCATGACCAGGTCTGCACACGCAAGTGACGTAATGAAACAGTTTGTGACGGTCTGAAGTCGTTGGAAGCGGCCAATGGCTGTAATCACCAAGACATTGCCAAAGACGATGACCAGAACAAGAACGGACATGAGTGTGCCCAACAGCACCATCTGTGGTTCGCCAATGTTAGACTGGGTGTCATTCAGAGATGGAGATGCAGTGGTGTTTGCCATGACCTGAGAGATTGAAAAGGAAAAGCAGAAATATACTGAATTAGTTAAGAAAAAATTAACACAAAGGCTTGTGCACTGAGCGGTAAACCATTTAAAAATGCAAACACTAAGTAAACAAGTTGTAAAAACAGTGCAATTCAATGCAAAGATAATGCACTTTTTTTTTTACAAACCTCCAAAAATGACTTCCACCTCCACTCCTCCTTCCATACAAAGTTACAGCATGCTTTTAAGGTTTATAGGTTTGTTACGAACGAGTAGATCCTCCCCAGCTTTCTCTTGCATGCTTATCTCTTTCTCTCTCACTTTTGCTCTCTCTTCCTCTGTCACCACAGCACTTTTCTCAACCTCTCTCACACACAGTCACTCTGCCGAGCAGTGTTACGTTAAGTGTGGCTCCCAGGCTATTTGTCAGAGCCCTTATAACATTCTGTGATGACATCATAGCTGACTTTCAGCCAATGAGCTGAGAGTGAGGTGAAGGCTGTACTGCTGCTACAGAATTAAGTAACAACATCCTGACAGCTACAGTGAGACTTGAATTGCATTTCAAACAGTTCATGCAGACTAGTTTTACATATATATTTTCTGGTTTAATACATTGTTTCTGGCTTTTATATATGTTTGTGTTCTGTAACTCATGAATAAACTCATTCATGTAAGTGCTTTGGAACAGACAAAACTAGCCGACAATATTCATAGTGTAAAATGCCAGGTTTATTGGGAAGCTAGGAATCGAGTTAGACCAGAGGTGAATGCAAAGAATATGAGGAAATTTCTATTTGTTTGTTTGTTTGTTTGTGTGTGTGTGTGTGTGTGTGTGTGTGTGTGTTTGTGTGTGTGTGTGTGCGTGTCTGAATGTCCAGAACCAGATGTCCAGAATCATGCCTCCAGCACTAGAAAGGCCATATGCCATTAGTGTTTTTATCTTATTGTATAACTTGAATGAAATGAACCAAACAGTTATGCTTAAAAATTTAAATCACCCAAAAATGAAAACAGTTGCTGGTCCCCATTGTCTTCCATAGTATGGGAAAAAATACTATAGAAGTAAGTGGAATGGGGGGCAACTGTTAAGTTACCCACATTCTTCAAAATATCTTTTTTTATGTTCAGCAGAAGAAAGGCATACAGATTTTGAACACCCTGCAGGTGAATAAATGTCTTTCAGTGCTTTAAAATCACCACATTTTCAAAAACATTTTATTTAACTTCTTTTAGTTATTCACATTATGTTCTTCGAATATGTTCTTAAAATTGTGACTTAAAAAAAGTGTATTTTATTATATGTATTTGTGACATTTAATGACCTAGAGTGTCTACGTAGTCAAAAACAAAGACAAATACAAAACAAAACTAACAAATAAAAAAATAATGTTTTTTTTTTTTTTTTTTGAATTTTTGTTTTTTTTACTGTACAAACAGTAATATTGTAAAAATTATTAAATTACAGTTTTTTTCTGTTGGAATATATTTTAAATTATATTAAATGTATTATTAATAGAGACTCTTGAGCTACATCATATAGCCATGTGTATCTGACCACATAGTACCAGTTATACTGTAGAGTTTGATTAGTCTGACTGAATGAAAATTAGCAGGTGGACTTTGAGTACCCTTGGAACATGGAGATATAAGTAATGATTAGTAGCTTTCTTGTCTCTACTATGTGTGTTTTTTCTGTGTGCTCTCTGATGGCCATGGACTGTGTGTTACAATGTGGATATGAGGTAAAGATCAGATAAAATGTAGCAGTGTCATGTCTGCAGAGATATTAGAGGACGGGTCTGTGAATTTGAGTAAAATGGCTTCTTTTGAACATTATTGTGGAGAAGGAGGATGAGTGGGAATGTGACACATGAATGGGACTACAGCAGGGATGTCCAATCCTGCTCCTGGAGGGCCACCTTCCACCAGAGTTTAGCTGCAACCCTAATTTAACACACCTGAACCAGCTAATAAAGGTCTTCAAGATCACTAGACCTATGCCCTAATCCCTTCAAAGGGTTTACCCTCCGGAGTGAGGGAAAGCTTTGAATGGTTGAAGGGTGTAGGGGACCAAACAACTGTTTCTTAAAGTGCCCTTTTGCATCATTATCCCATGCCCACACGGAGGCGGCGTCATTGTGGAAAGAATCAGCGCAAAGGATCATGGGGGCCTGAAGTGTCCATCAGTTGTACCCTTCGAAATCCTACATTCCAAAGGGCCCTTTGAAGGGGCCAGTTTTAAACACTTCAGTTTGGAACGACCCTTCGATATGGCGGCCATGATTGTTTTCACTCCGAAGTGCCTTTCGGAGGGCGATATATCCCATTTGGAATGCACCGACTTTCAGCGATTTCATGGGAGCAGTAGATTTAATTGGTTTTGCCATCTGTGGTTTCAGACTGAATGAAAAAGCTGCCAACAACAAAGGGTGTGGTGCTTGTTTGTACAGTTGTCAAATAAAGCTGTGATAACTTAATTATTAGTTGTTGAGTCCATAAATCTAGATTTCTTTATTCTCAAGCCACTGAACATTGAGTACCAGGTGTTGATTTATTTGTGCTTGTCATTTTTTTATATTTCTCTATAGCTATAATTTATTTAGTTTTTAGTAATTTAAGTAGCTCAAATTTATGTTGATTTTCTTCCAGATTGCCAAGGTAACATGGCTTGTTTTCATAACATTTTTTCTTCTAATATTTCAGTTTTATTTTATTTTATTTCCCCTTTATTTTAATGAACAAAAATGTTTTAACTTTAGTTTACAGTAACACCGTTTGAGTACAATGAGGTATTGTCTCCGCGTTATGTGAGACTTCTGTTTATGGAATGCTTGGTACCGGTAGTTCCTGAAAAAGACGATTAAAAAGTAGCTTGTTTGCCACCAGCTCACAAAGGTCCATCATTTATTGCTTTGACCAGTTGCATGTTCTACATTTAAAAGTGTTAAAACATTTTAAAAACCCTTTAAAATGTTACCATAATCGTTGAGGGTTCAGTCTGGATTGATGATCCAAAAACTGGTACGAGTGATCTATGAACTGAAAAATAACTGAGAATGCATTGTCAGCAGAGCTCTTAAGTGCAAATTGCTCGAGGACCAAGTAGTAAATTTACTGATAAGTGCTCTGGGTAACAAATCGTGTCTGCTAGATAAGACATAGTATATAAAGTTAAATATCTTAATGTTTAATCTTTTTGGAGAAACTGGTCATCCTGAGTTTAAACAGGAACAACCAGGAATTAAATTCCCTTTTTTTTTAAGTGAGACAGACTGAGAACGTCAAACATGACCATGTCAACCAAAGTGTTTTACATATCAAATTTTATGCAAACAGGGATGTCTTTGATGAATAGAAAGTTTAAAAGAACAGCATTTATCTAACATAGAAATCATTTCTAACATTATAAATGTCTTAACTGTCACTTCTGATCAATTTAATGCATCCTTTGCATATTCTTTCCTGTCAATATCTCTATCTATTAAAGGCAAAATACAAACAGTGTTGCCAGATTGGATAGACAAGCTCACCAAAACCCACCCACTCCAACAAAAAAGCACCCAAAACTTATACTGTCAAAATAATTTGGTAGAATTGTATTTCCATGTCAGTCAAGGTTGATAAGGACCGGTTTTAACTCCTCAAAACAAAATAATGATGACAAAATAATATAAAAATAGACAAATTTCCCAGGAAAACAGATCAAATCAGGCCAAAATACAGGGCAAAAAAAGAGAATTACCAAATATGGCTAAAATATGCAGGCAGACACTGCCATGCAAAAACAGTAATCAATGAATTTCCCGATACTCTAGAAACTCAACAGTCAGGCTAAACCAATTTAAATGCAAAAAGTGGTCATTATTTCACACTCGTTCATGCACACACCATGACAGCCAAAACTGTGTTATTCATTGATACATACAGCACGATAATCTGATAATTAAAAAAATGAACAATAATAATGCACTTACCTTCATGTCGCACTTTAACTTCAAACAGAATTAGAGGAAGCCTTTTGTGAATATTGTAGAACATAATACAGAACTTTGCACAGTTAAAACTAATCAAGTCCAGCAGCTACCAATATGGAAAGTAAAAGACGTCCTGATGCAGGACAGCATGGTATTCAGTTCCAATTTTGATTAAATTATTAAAGTGTGCTCTGATTTCAGAGTTAAAATATTAGAGCCTTCATGTCAGCTCCCTCCACAGGTGTAATTCACATTTTGAGAGTCGAGTCACTCTCCCACTCTAGCGAACCGTGACTTTTGAACCTTGGCCCTCTCCCCCTACCCTCGTCGGGGGGGAAAACAGACTACCAGCCTAGCTTACAGAGTCTAATTCTAAAAGTCATCTTTGACAATTCCACCTTTGAAACAAGACGCTATTCCAGCCTTAATGCGGTCACATACCAGACGAGAAGCACAGTGCTGCGCCACACCATGTAGGGTTGCACCAGCCATTCGTAAGTTCTTACTTAAATGAGAACGTTAAATCCACACTAGAGGCTTAGTAACTACTAGCTAGTTTGTAACTAAATCTATACATTATTCGGTTGCACCAGTTGTTCGTAAGGCAGGCCGCAGCTGGTAGTTCGTAAGCTCTCCGTAAAGTAATGCGTAGTCGCATAATATGACGTTTATCCTAAATGATCCAATAGTAGCCTTCAAATACGCGAGTATGAACTTGTTTAAATTCTGTGAATTTCAATTTATTCTACATTCTAATTTATTTTGCCTCATGTAACTAATGGTAAAAATAAGTTGCCATTTAAAACGATACTACTTAATCATGAATGACATTAGCCAATAGGTAAGCTATTTTTATGTTAACATTCAGAAACTGTAATTGAAATAACGTAAGGATCAATAAATACTGAAAGAAAAAAACATAAGAAATGCCATTTATTTATTATGGCTGATTTCATTTGACATGCGCAACACAGACCGAAGCACACAGAGGCACGCTGTAGATGGGGTGTTGAAGAAGCACTAAAAAAAGAAACAAAGTACGTTTATTCATATATTGTTCTCTCTTTTAATATGTACGTGAGTGTAAATGTCAGCAGCATCATATATGTCTAAAGGATTGAAGGTTGTCAAAGAAGAGCATATTGATGCAGTTCACTCAGTCTTGCTATTTTATTCCAACCGTTAAGCGGTCACACTGCACTTTTCGCTCCATTGACTTCCATTCATACGCATGCGAATGCATCAGACCGGAAACGCAAGCCCGTGCGAAAAGTTTCAAAGTTTCAAGTTCCAAAGTTCAAACTTGGTGAACTCTGGCCTGCGAATTCGCATTACGTGATACCGTGTGACCAACGGCAGATCGAAACAATTTCGCATGCTCAAAGTCTAGTGTGACCACGACTTTACTCTTGACCGGACGC